CTGCAAATGAAGAGAGTCACTGGGCTCCTTTTTATTATATTTTTATTAAGATAACTGAACAACTGTTTTTTCTCTACGATATGTTCAGAGGCTAGATGTTAGTCTAGAGGGACCATTTACCTTACAACTGTTGGGATGGCTGACAGTGAAGTGGAATTATGGGATGTACTTAAACTTCCTTTTCAAATATAACACTGTATCTTTGATGACTTAACTTAATGTTTATGATTCTTGGCTGAACCACCTCATCTTTCCCCACTGTACTGCTTCCTCGTACCAGCTGTACCAGCAACAGATTATTAAAATACCACGACACACTCCCAATTCACAAGCTGTGCAATGAACACAAAACCATATCAGCAGACATCCAAGTCATCCAAGTATAAACAGATCAAAGGGAAGAGGATTTCATAATCTAAAGCATGAAACTAATATATATATCATTAGACACATCTAAATAACTACATCGGCAGTTCCCTGTCAAATGTGATGAATGTGAAACTCATAGGTTTCCATAATGGTGTTAGAATCTGGCATCAACACCTACACTGCTGATCAATACTCTGTAGTTCCGTGAGCATCGCTAGGCCACACTAAACACTGGTTTTATGTGTTTTCATATCAAACATTTCCTCTCAAATATTAGAGCTTTTGTGCGATTTATGACTCTACATCAGTGTCGTTGAAATAAAAACAAAGGGGTCCACTTCTGTAAACGAACAACCCTATATTTCTTCATACTTCAAATATTTCTTGCTCAGCTGTCTCGCTATGCGAGAATGATGTCCCCTAATACATAACTTCCCACCAACATCAACGTTATACAACATCATAAACAAAGAAGGCTTTTATTGCTCAAAGCCATCTCTGTACACAAGCTTGATTATATTGCAATGCCCTTCGATAATAATATATCAAAATCACAAATGTCAACTTTTCTTGCTTGCAAATTGGGTCCACATTTCATTTGGGTGTGTCACTGCAGTGTCTTGTTATCTTCAAGCATCAATATGATGAATTACCAAGGTATATTTTACAATGTACGCAATGCATGTGTCATGGTAACATTGATGACGCCACTGCCTGGAATATCTTTTTCACACATAATAGATTCTTTGTGAAGCAAAACATAAAAGAGCTTGTGAGAGAAAAACATGGTACATTTTATGTATTATGCTCGTAAACTATATGACTGAAAAAAGTTAAAGAACACCCTATTTTTGACATTTCTATAGTTCATTTGTCATGGCCATGATAAAAGAAGACATCAATGACCTTATTGATTAAATGGGACTTTTTCTTTCAATTGAAAAATTAAAGAAGCTTTGAAATCAATCACACTTTCAAACATACATGAGTATACTGAAATCTGTAAAATAATACTGCTGTATAATAGGGATGACAATTTCCAAAAGAAAATGGAATACCCTATTCTACCTTTTAACTTGTTTCACCTACTTTAAACATCAAAGAGAAGTCAACATTACTACTCAACTTTAATACAAAGCAACTGTACTAAAAATCAACACTTTGATAAATTGGAAAGTCTACCAAAAGTTAGGGTGAGGAATGAAGATAAGCCAAACCACATCTTTAGATCTTTAGATGTGTAAACAGCACGAAAGTGTAAAACAGCTATCGGATCTCATGTCAAACCTATCAAGATGTTTTTGTCTTCATCAACACTGCCTTTATCAATATATGTTGTTTTTCCGAAAGTGAAATAATACATCAACTTTGTCTCATCGCTATATGGCTGAAACAATGCCGATTTAAATTTCAACACACTCACACACTCACTCAGAATGTGAAATATGATTTGTGATGTGGCAAGAACTCAATATGCAGTGCATCAAATCTATCCTGGACACATTGGAACAATGATTTTTAGCCTTGTGCCTGATTATGATGACATGATGCTTAAAATAGCTGTCCAATCAAATTACATTTCTGGGAGAGAAATTCTGTGCTCTGTTTGAGATAGGTGCGATGGAGGTGATGACAACATGTTGAAAATGAGTGAATGAGTGAGTATGGTTTTGTGCTTTTTTTAGCAATATTCCAGCAATATCACGGCGGGGGACACCAGAAATGGACTTCACACATTGTACCCATGTCGGGAATCGAACCCGGGTCTTCAGCGTGACGAGCGAACGCGCTAACCACTAGGCTACTCGACCGCCCCATGTTGAAAATGGGTCCAGAATATTTATCACAAAAGAATGTGAATGTGTATGGTTTTGCTCCGCTTTTAGCAATATTCCAGCAATATCACAGCAGGGGACACCAGAAATGGGCTTCACACATTGTACCCATGTCAGGAATCGAACCTGGTCTTCGGCGTGACGAGCACACACTTACCTACTTGGCTACCTGATCGGCCCTTTATCATAACAGAATGGGGGTGATACTCTGGATAGTCGAGGATGGAAATCAGGTGTTCTCAAATTATCATCTCGACTAGTATGATAAATCATGTTTTTTCAGTGTTATCTTATTGCATACAATCTTTATTTGATTATTTTAATGTCGGCTAATGGACTATTTTAGAAGACTATAATCATTGAGTGTAACATATTGGTCTGAACTTATCATGGTGGAAAATAAACTGTACATATTTTTATGTACATATTATTTAAAATAAATTATGGTCAGAGTAAAAAAAACATGAAAGAAGAAAAATAATCACTTTGATTGTCAAAAAGGTTTACCATTTACATTCCTTACCCAAAGTACTTGAAATGAAAATAACAATACAAAAAACGTGCAACATTGAAATTGCTCACTTTTTGCATAATCTATAGACAAATACACCTATTTACACCCTTTAATTCTTAAATGTCAAAGAACTAGGCTACTCTTATCATGTAGTTGAATGAGGTTTATATACATCACTGTCAGTGTAAAATGGGAGGAAAGTGACATCACTTCCACATTGGTTAAAATCTTGAACCCAGGTATTGGTTACCTTAGGAAGAAAAATGTAATCATATCAATATGTATAATGACGCCCTCTTCACATCAAGAAAACAAATCAGTAGAAAGTAAATTGCTCAGTAGCAGGAGAAGGTCATACTTTAACACCCACATAGCATGAATATTTAATTTGAATGTAATGTCAATGCACAAATATGATCAAACTACTGACACATAAAAAGGCCAGAATTAAGAATTAAAGACCTACAACTGTTCACATTTACAATCCTTTATCTATTTCTATACAAAATTAACACATTTCAACACTGTATACCAACACAACTATCAAAGATCCTTAAATTGAGTGTCAAAATTGGAATTCCTGCATCCACAAAAAATCCTTCCAAAATGACAAAAATGTTCAAAGAACCCAATTCCACATCCTACAACGGCTGACAGTCCTTCATCTCAGCCCAACATGGGTACGATCACACAGCCATGTACATGATATGAAACTTTTCCAACCTGTCGGAAGCCACTTCAAATCCACTGATCTACATTTCCACATTCTGACCCTACCAGCAAGAAGCACTTCCAGTCTTTGAAGCAACTACACAAAAACCATTGAAGGTAAGAGAAACCCAATGTTTCATCTTGCACAGGTCTACTTGTGTGGGGCGCTTTAAAGAAGTGATTGGTGCACAAATACATCGTGTGAGTGAATGAGGCCACAGATCACTGTGTCAGTGTAAAATTGGAAGAAAGTAACATCAATTCCACATTGGTTAAAATCTACAACTACAGGTATTCTGCTGCAAAGGCAAGGACATAAATACAAGCCAATCAAGGATGACAAACCTTTGATCCTCTCACTATCTTACATGGAAATGTTCCTTTAACGCGATATCATAATTGAAAAATAACATCACACAATGTCACAGACAGAGAATATGTAGCCGCTGCATTCAATCAAATTTACACAACCTAAAAGTTGTCTGTTTGATAGTAACTTTGTCACAGAATTGTAATTAACTTAAAGAAAATGTGTATGTAAAAGAAAGAAATCGTCTCAAATAGAATTGCTAAGGTTCACTTTGAACATTAAAACCTTGAGATCACACTGACATCGACCAATGGAAGATCAGTAAAGCCATATCACCTCTTGAGATATCTTTTGATCCCACAGCACTGATAGCTCCTATGGGAGCCAGTTGTTTGATAAAAAATCTTCCTCCCTAGCGAAAGCATAACAAATGTTTTACACGCTGCAATAGGGCCCTTTGCTACAGAGACGGGTTCTCATAGTGTCCAATCTCTTTGCATGGTGCAAGAAGTAAATGTCAAATTTGACGTTTCTTTTCCCTTAACAAAATCACAAAATACATTTAACAAACTAAACAAGCACCAAGGTACTGTTGTTCACCCCGCGTACATTCCCACAGATTGTTTTTCAGCTATAAAACGCAGCATGTAGCATGGGCACTGATCTCCTTCCAAAGGAGTCAGTGAGCGAGTCAGTTGGGTCTGAAGCTGCTTTAAACAATATTTCAGTTATATCACAATATTTCAGTTATATCATAATGTTTCAGTTATATCACAATATTTCAGTCATATCACAATGTTTCAGTTATATCACAATGTTTCAGTTTTATCACAATGTTTCAGTTTTATCACAATGTTTCAGTGATATCGCAATATTTCAGTTATATCACAATATTTCAGTTAGATCACAATGTCTAAGTTATATCACAATGTTTCAGTTATATCAATGTTTCAGTTTTATCACAATGTTTCAGTTTTATCACAATGTTTCAGTGATTATCACAATGTTTCAGTTAGATTACGATATTTCAGTTATATCACAATATTTCAGCTTAATGTGGGGGAACACCAGAAATGATGAGAGTCTGAAATGTTTACCACTTTGGTGAAATCCACAAGCACGGGTATAGTGCTGACAACCTAAAATAAAATCAGAGAGGACTGGGATTCAAACCCATGATCATAGCTGTCTGGAATGCTTAAGGGATGCCTCCAAAAGCAACAAGGAAATGAATGTGATAGATGTCAGTTACTTAGCTCACCTGGTGTAAACAGCAGGCTGAAGAAGAGCAGGACTCCGTGAGTAACGATGGTGAAGACGGTGGCGAGTAACTCGGCCATATCCTATGTTTGGCGACAGTACTCCCACAAGGTCAAGGTCATTATGCATGCAGGTGACGGCACACACCCGATATCGGTCACATATCGGCTGTTCGCATGTTCCAGTAGTATACTGTCATGTGATGACAATGTGATGCCAGTCCTTGAGGTTCGTCCTTACATCAGGTCTGTATCATCTTCTGTCCATTGTTTCATCTGAAAAATGCATCAATATCAGACTGACCTTCCATGTGCAAATCTTTCATATTCTGAAACTTTATTTACTATGTTTATGATAAATAGAGGATATTTGTATTTTCTCTTCATAACATGTTTATGTCTTTGAGTCACCTGATAAAGTTCATATTTTCTAGAGAAGAAATCTCACTAAATGAGAAAAATGTTGGGTTTTTTTCAGAAATAACAAATGAAAGCCTAGGGGAAGATATTGATAACCCATAAATCAAAAATATTTGTGATATTTATATGTTGTGGGTTGCCAAATACTGAATTATCATCCAAATGTTTGTTGTCTCCCCTACCTCTCAAAGTATTTGCATTGCATCATCCCTACATTTAAGAAGAGCCCCATTCTTTTGGTACCATTTCGGAAAGAGGTGCAAAAACATGGCCAATCATATGTTCACAGATGAAGACGTCTTGTAGACATGGTAGAAGTACCCTCACAAAGTGAAGAGGATGACGGCACAAAGGACCAGACTTGAAGATTTTCAAGGTGAATCAGTAGTTGACACTTCTGAGCATTTCAGTTGTAAAAATTATCATTATTCAAAGCATCTTCTCGTGGCTCATCATGTTATTTCCAGAACCAGTATTTCATTGGTTTTGATATTCCTCAGTCGCTCTCACTGACAGATTAGGTCGCTCTCACCGACAGATTAGGTTGCTCTCACTGACAGATTAGGTTGCTCTCCTGTTTAGAGTATAGGTAAACGACGTAAGACCTGCATGGACATTTAAATGGAATATTTTTGGAATTCTATTTTGTAATGTTGTCCAAACAGGCTACCATGTTCTTTCTGCAAGAAAACTTACAATTTCTGCTGTATGTTATTAAAGGTCATCTTTCAAGCTTGTAACATCAAAACTGATTTTGATGAATAAATAGATAAAGCAGTTCTATACCATCTATATATTCTTTTTCAAGTGTTTACTTTTTATAGATTCAACTGTTACATCTACCTGAAAAATTATTGAAAATTCTGACATTTGTGACATTACAGGAATAAATGCAAACGACATTTCTTGTCTACCTTTGTGTATTTACAAATGTAAGTGGTGCAGGTTTCTAGTCACTCTGTTGAATGTTATGATTTGAAATGAACTCATACTGTTGTTATCTGTATAGAAAGTTTTATTTCTGCAAATGAGATTTGTCATTAACTTGAAGTACAACTACGTTTCTAACTAAGTTTCAGTAAAAACGGTGACAAAGACCTTTCAGGATTACTGCAATAACCACTGTATTTTTAAACGGTGTGTGTCTGTAAACATCACAAATACGTGCAACTATTATTTTATTCGGAATAAATTATTCCAATATCATGTTATTTTAGTAGTATTTTTTCAATATACAATGTATATTTGAAATAAATTAACAACCATAAATGTAGCACTTTGGTCCAGCTATTGCTGGATATTTTTTTTCATATGGAACAATTTGACCAATCACTGCCAATGCTTCCGCACTTGCGATAGTGAAAACTTTATGCTGACAAATAATAGTCAAACTACAACCAATACGACTTTCAGCGAGTCAAAGTATGGCATTTATGATATCTATATCTATATCCATTCTCTATCCACTAAAGTTCGTTTCAAGGTGTCAATAGCAGTAATATGACTATGGTTGCTGTAAATAACTGCGTGGTGCGATCTTCCAATCACTTCACATGCGATTTTGCCAAAATGAAAATAAACAATATTGAATGAAATTTTGAATAAAATTATAAAATAGATTACAAAGGTATGTCCAGATATATAATGAACTGTTTTTATAACCAGACAGTGTAATTACATGATTAGTTTGCGACTTCATTACGGATGGTGTTTCCGGTGTAACATGCTCACAGTTATGTCTGCGTTGGGGAGAAAAACATCAAAACTCTTCAACCCTGTGTATAAGACGTCCCCCTTTGAAAGCCCCCTAATTTGTGGTACGAAAACTCACCTTATACACAGCAATATACGGTTATAAAACATATTATATAATTGGATAGCCCAAAGTGACCCCATTACCACTGCACTGACAGATCAAGGACCAGCATGAATGGGGTGAATCTAGAAATCCAGACCATAATCACACAATCTCAGCATGACTAATGGAGGTAACTTTAAATTGCAGCACCTTAGTCTACTGGTCTGTCTTTGCCACTCAACATCTGCTAAGGACCAAAATAGTCATCTTCAGTCAAAAATGTGGTCCTTAGCAAATGTTGAGTTGTATATAAGCAAGCTGCAAACAATCATAATAATAATCACCTATAATACCGAACGTGAGAGTTATGTACTGAAAGAGGTACATCTTCGCTATTCAGGTACAAATGCTAATGGTTACATAAGGAAGAAAAATGTATCAATATGGATAACGACGCCCTCTTCACATCAAGAAAACAAATCTGTAGAAAGTTAATTGCTCTGTGGCAGGAGAAGGTCATACTTTAACACCCACATAGCATGAATATTTAATTTGAATGTAATGTCAGTGCATGAATATGATCAAACTACTGACGCATACGAAGGCAGAATGAAACACCTACAGTCCATAATTACAATTCTATATATATATTTCTATACAAAATTAACACATTTCAACACTGTATAGCAACACTACCATTGAAAATCCTTAAACTGTCAAAATTGGAATTCCTGCATCCACAAAATCCTTCCAAAATGACAAAAATGTTCAAAGAACCCAATTCCACATCCTACAACGGCTGACAGTCCTTCATCTCAGCCCAACATGGGTACGATCACACAGCCATGTACATGATATGAAACTTTTCCAACCTGTCGGAAGCCACTTCAAATCCACTGATCTACATTTCCACATTCTGACCCTACCAGCAAGAAGCACTTCCAGTCTTTGAAGCAACTACACAAAAACCATTGAAGGTAAGAGAAACCCAATGTTTCATCTTGCACAGGTCTACTTGTGTGGGGCGCTTTAAAGAAGTGATTGGTGCACAAATAAACTGTGGGCCTGTATAAATGTTCTGGATGCCAGGGCTTGCCAAGCGCAAATATACAAACATGCCCAGGTTATAGTAAGCTGCTTGGCATTTCATGTTGTCACCTAAGTCTTGTATGTTGCAAAGTCTTGTAATGGATCGTGTATTGCGAACATTGTGAATATCATGTTATTATTAATAAGCCCTGAATATACCAGTCTAAGAAACGAATATATGCCCAATACTTTGTCAACTGACCTTCTTGTGAAAAGTTTAATGTTCTACTCAAATCTGATTCAATCATGGCTATGTTGTGAAAGCTACCTGTACTGTTGAGCCATGTATTACATGTGGACTGACGAGCTGACATAAACTATGATGAAACAATTTATTGTAAACCCATTTTCATACAGTAAAGTTTCAAGTTGATTTGCAACTTTGTTCACTATCATAAGTATTAAACATAACTAATATTCTAACTAATAATATATTCTCATAGTTTAATGTAAACATCTAAATCAACTAATTAGTTAAATGGGAACAAATACAACCTTACTTAGTGACTAACCAATAAATCTTAATTAAAAAAGTTATTGACATGTCTATAAATACTTGAGCCTGCCACATTTACATGTTGTACTATTGGCCTTTAAGCTGTGTATACTAATTAACTGCCTCTCAGCATTGTGAACATCAGGGGAGTGATAACTTTAGAAAAAATTTAATCTCCATCAGTGATATAGAGAGGAGACTTGTTTGGGACAATTAACCAGTCTACCACTCTCAAATGGAGATTTATCTGAAGAAAATCAAGTAAGGGAACTACAAATACAAAGTGATCTTTGTGCTGAGAACTCTTTACAGACATATAGTAGTCCAAGATTGTTCTTCCGAATTTATTTAGATGATATTATTATCTACTCAACATCATTATTGAGAGGTAACGTAGATAATGTGAGATAAAACGTTGCCTTTTCAGCTTCCAAGAGTGCAGTTCAGTTGCATCTGGAGAGAACGATTTTATACCCACATGGACATTGACATTGTTACTTGTCATGAATTGCTCATAAATGAATTAAGCCGCTGGTTGAATTCTGGCATGTGTTTTGAGGATTTTTTTCCATCACCTTTAATACTGCATTTTTCATTGTTTTTAATAGTCGTCCATTCTTCCAGTTTCATAAAAGCATCCACTCAGAGTGACATAGTTTAAAAAAACATGTTCTACAACTGAAAATCACAGTGTCGACACGCTTAGACCTATGAACGCTTGTGACATCCTACATATATGTTATATAACGCTTGTTCGCATATGTTCATATGTGACATCCTACATACCTAGGTGACCCTTCAATAATGACACCGAGTATAAATTCTTGGAACCAAACACAGCATTGTGAAAGCACTTTTCCAAAATGGATTCCCATCAGCACAGGCTAACAAATAGATTGGAGATACCAGTAATTCAAACATGTTTAAAGTACAACGCATGTAGGCCCAGTTTCACAAAGTTATCCTGGTGCTATGACTGGCGTAGGCCCAATACCTAAACATACAACAGTAAAGTTACAGTGATTGCTCTTCGAAATGGGGTTCATTGTGGCCATGGGCCTTGGACATCTGACTGCACTTCACATAAGTGTGAGTGTGAGAGGAGTGTGAACTATACAACATTTGTAACGCTCTTGAACCTTGTCCACACATTCAGGCAATGATATTTATATACATGTATATATATATAATTAGTGGTTATGGAGTAGGTAATATGATAGGTAATTAAGTGCTAACCAATGAATAATAATTGTTCAGACACATTAATTGGACATGTGTAATACTGGAATGTATGGTGAAAACTAGTAATATCTGTAACAATTATTATATATGAATTGTGACTCAGAACACCTCCATAGAGAGACTATGCTGTAAAACATCAGTAAGCACCACACCAATACATTGAAAACTTGCAATGAATATCAGTTTGGGAGCAGGGATTTGAGGTGAAATTGGGTTTAACGTCCTGTCCAA